ATACCTGGATATTAGTCTGGCATTCTATTTTCATGTTGTCCATACCCTTGATCTTGATTAAAATCTTGTGTCCAATTATCATCATAGTCATCTATTTGCTATTTAGATGAGAGATGAAGAAAGGTCTTGGCATCCATATTGGTGTCTGCCTAGTTGTTTGAGAATCAGTGGTTCTTGTTCTCTACCTGGATATTGGCCTAGCATTCTATTTGCATTTGGCCATGCCCTTGAGGTTGATTAGGATTTTTTGTCTGACTATGATCCTTGTCATATACTAGCTTTTTGGTTTGGTGTCTATCTTTGTCCATGATTGAGTGGTTCTTGTCCTCTGCCTGCATATTGGCCTGGTTTTCTCATTGCATATTGGTCATGCCCTAGATCTTGATTAGAATTTTATTTCTGATTTTGATCCTTTTCATATACTACCTGTTCAGATTGGATTTGATAACTCTCTCAGGATTTATCTTAGTGTCTGACTTGTCCACAATTGAGTGCTTCTTGTCCTCTGCCTGGATATTGGACTAACCTTCCTTTTGCATATTCACCATGTATTTGGTCTTGAATAGGATTTTGAGTCTTATTATTATCTTTGTCACATGCTACTGTTTGGTTTGGATTTGATAACTGTCTTGGGATCCATATTGATGTCTGCCTTGTCCACAATAGAATGATTCTTGTCCTTTATGTGGATATTGGCCTGGCATTCCATTTGCATATTGGCCATGCCTTTTTTCTTTATTATAAGTTTGTGTCCAATTATGATCATTGTCGTGTACTTGCTGTTTGTTTTGAACACTATGACAGCCTTGGAATCCATGCAGGTGTCTGTCTCCCTATCCACTATTGAGTATTCTTTGTTTTCTATCTGGATATTGCCCTGGCATTCCTTTTGCATATTGTCCCTACCCTTGGTATGGATTAGGATTTTTGGATAATTATGATCCTTGTCATTTTCTCACTGTACAGTTTGGATACAATAACTGCCTTTGAAGCCTACCTGGTGTCTGCCTTTTAGTCCAGAATAGTGTGGGCCTTGCTCTCCACTTGAGAATCTGTATGAGCCATCTGGTAATTGATAATAGGAACGTTTAGGCTCAATAATCTCCAAAATTTCCTTCCATCTCTTACCCCTCCCCGTGTTCTCCCTACCAACTCATTGCTGTTCCCAAAGGGGCTGTGGCTTTAGTTGGAGATGAAGCAATTCCCACCACGGAGAAGAATCTGAAGAGGTTCTTTGCTAGCATTCAGAATTCCCTTAAAAGCTATTCTCCCTGACTAGCTTTCCCCCAGCCCCACCCTCTACACTCACCACTGAGTCCTGTTACAGCTACTTGCTTCTCAAGAACAAGGAGCAGAGAAAGGACAAAGATGTTGGACTCCATCTTGCCAGGAATACCTTGGCTAAGAGCTGAGTTGAGGTTCTCATTTATACCTTCCTTGATGGGTTATGCCAGAGATGGGGCTGAGTTATAAAAGGCACTGCTCTTTCTTAGCTTATCAGTAAATGCCAGGTTCCTCATTCCTGCTCACTAGGGGACACTGTCAGAGTCCCCAGGGACTTTGCACAGGGACAGAATGTCAGAGGCCTTTGTTATTCCCTCATAAGCCCCAGCAAATCTTTATCAGCACTTAGGTATCATCACACTAAGCCTCCTGTATTTACAGAAGAAATTCAGTCTGGGGAGGGGAAGAGACTCACTTTAAGGTACAAAATTAATCAGCAGCTTAGCAAGCCTTCAAATTCTAAGTTTGTGGATCCTTTCATGATGCCATCATCTGAATACTCCATCACAAATATAACCCTGTACTTCTCCTTGTTTCAAAAGGAGCTTGAGATATATTCTATTGTACCTAAGAAGGGCAGCCCTAGAGGCAGAAAGACACTGAACACAATGCAACTTTATGGAAGCCAAAGAAAGAAGTTTTCAAGAAGTAAATGGTATGCGCCAATCGCAAAACTGGCTGTGAAGTTCACCACGATAAAGACTGGTGTGTGCCCAAAGATTTACTGACTTCAGTTGCTGCTAATAACTTTAATTAGGGAAAATTAACACAGTTGTGTTTGGTTGTCAGCTGGGGGATGGAGAACAGAAGTAACCTTACCGAGAATTCTCAATTTGCAGTGGAGAGAGAGCTGGGGCTGTACCTGGAGGGTGAGGTGAACTCCAGACATGTTTCCAAAAGATGAGACAAATTTAACATGGTTTAATGGTGACACGTATGACTGTTGGATAAAGTAAGAGTGTTGCTTTCTTATTGGGTTCTTTTCATTAAATCTACCTAACAACAAAATTCATTTTTTAAATAAAAAATATTTCCTATGTAAATATGAAACAGCTACAACCCAGTAGGCTGTGAGCAATATTTTCCACCATCGATGAGTTTATTAATATATTGAGAGAAGATGCAAAGAGAATTTTTCCGCCTTATCGAGAGAAGTGCAGTTTTCTGGGAACGTGAGAAGGTCCTTAACGGTCCAAAGAACTTTTCTTTACTTTGACCCATGAAGATTAGCATGTGGGCAGACCCACAGGAGAAGTGTAAGCATCCCAGTAATGACCCTGCATGAATTCAGCACACCGTGGAGGGTGACTCTGGAGCAAGGATGACTTGAAACCACAATTCCAATCATTCTACTAAAATCCTAGTCTGCCTGTAGGGAACACTTGTATGTAAGGGAAAAAGGGAAAGACCAACTAAGTTTTTGTGTAAAGAACATAGATTAAAAATTACTAAGTCGACTACATAAGACATGTCAGCTGCATGATTTCACCCAGAGCCATTCTGAACTCCTGCCGTGGTTATCTGTTTGCCCCAAGGGTGGGGACATCAGAAGCTGAGAGGCAGCATTCCCGTGGGGCACTGACCTCAGCAGATTAGGTTGAAATCTTCCTGAATTATAACTACCTACTGTGTCCCACTTACCTCTGCACTCCTTCCCACAATTCCCTTAGAAAATGCCAGAAACCACCCCATTCCAGGCTGACTAGTAGAAGAAAGCATCCAACAGCATGATCTTTATGGATCAAAGAATAAAATCCTTATCCAATCCTGTATGCAACAGATACAAGTAAATGAGGCTTAAGATTTGCAAAAACAAACCAGGAAACTGCAAACCAAAAAACAGCGTAAGATTATGCTACTCACATTAGAATAGAATTCAGTGAAATTCGAAAAAAAAAAAAGCATATCAAAATAAAGAAGGAATGTATTGATAAAGATGACAGCAGAAACCAGTGATTTGGAAAGCAGAAAAAGGGTATGACTGCTGAATAAATCCTTGATATGGTGTCTTGATGGGGGAATGAAAAACTCCTGGAAAAATCAAGAAAAAGGAGGAAAATGTTAAAATGTGTAAAATTTGAAATGAGAATGGGAAAATGTTCTTTTTATGCTCAAAGAATAAAAAAGGGGGATTTTAAAATGTTTTGCTCAATTCTATGCAGAATTATTTGACAACATAGAAATGCAACAAAATAAATTAGCTTCATTGTTTTAAGACTAGATAGAAAACCTAAACTCTACAAATATCATAAAGAGCTACAGAAAGTTCTCTGAAAGTCTCCTGCTCTAGCCCCACAAAGTGCTAGACCCAGGAAATTAATATAGAGCAACGAGAGGAGAGGAAGCTCGTGCAAAAACTTCCTTACTACTGTAGAGTAAAAATGGTTGGGAGAAAGTACAAGCCCCACGTTAATGCATAGCAGCAGGACGGGTGTCACCCTCCAGGGCGACAATTTGGATCCACTAGCAGAGCAAAGCCCAGCCCTCTCGACCACTTGTATCTGGAGTAGTGTCAGTCTCCAAAAATTCTATATCAGGCAATATAATCCTTCAAAAATGAAGGAGAAATTAAGACACTCTCAGAAAAACAAAAACCAAAAGATTTGATCATTGCTAGATGTAACCTACAAGAAATACTAAAAGGGAGTCCTTGAGAAGAAACGAAAAAACACTACACAGTCATTCAAAACCATAAAAAGAAATAAAGAATAGTAAAGGTAACTACATAGGTGAGTATATCCTCCACATTCCTTCTAACAGTCCCATAACGCTTCGTTGTGTAGATGTACCATCAATTCAATTTCTCCTGTGTGTGGCATTGAGGTTGTTTCCAATATTTCGCGAACGCAAACAATGCTGCAATTACACTTTTATATTAATTCCACACTTTGGCTTGTGTTGTTATAGTGGTCTGGAATTGCTGCTATAACCTCATACTTTCGTCCAGGGTCAGGCCAAGCCAATCTATCAGTAGTCTTTTTAGAAAGACTTCTAAATCCTCCTGCCTCGGTCAATATCTTACGGAAAGAAAGATGATTTGAAATCAGGACGGATAGTTCCCGTTCCCAGCTCTGCTCCCGACTCCTGAACAGTTTTCCCATCTGTAAGATGAAGGCCGTTTTCTGGATTATGTCAACAGGGATTTCAACTCCAAACTCAACGTAAGGTTGTGGCTCAGGGCATCTGTTATACAGTGCAAAGAACCTGGTGCCTGTCCATGCCCCTTGTCACTCTGGACTCCTGGGGGCAGACACACATGACTGGTTAGAACAGAGTCTGCAAGGCCCTGTAAAGCGGCTCAGATGTGCCTAAGGTCATCAGTGTCACTCACTGCTCCACCCCTGGGTGCACAAAGAGCCCGAAGAGATGATATCTGGGTTCCTTGTCTCAGCGAAAACTCTGTGGTGCTGGGGAACTCTAGGTCTCTGGTGGAGGGTGGTGTCAGTTGAGTTGTCCCTAAAGATTAACATATTTTTTGGCTTCTCTACACACAAGCCACACTGAACACTTCGGCTACCTTCTCTGGGTAATTTTGACCCTTTTTTTTTCAGTCCCAGAACCCTTCATCTTTCTCTCCCCTCATCTCTCCTCAACAAAGAATCCAGGGTTGCCTGAATGAGTTTGTAGAATCAGGGAATAGCATAGTCAGGATGCTGAGGGTCTCATTCCCTCAAGATCCTTCTTCTCTTTATGTTTGTCTTTCGTTTTTTTCACAGCTGGTAATCTGAGCCTCAGAAGTGAATAATGAATATCCAAAGTCCTACAGCAAGTTAGGGGCACAGATGGAGCGGAACACAGTCTGTGGGAAGAAAACACCAAGAGTGTCTTGCTCTGGCACCCAAGATGGAAATGAGCGTGGGTGTAGCAGACAATTTTCATTTCTTGGCTTGTGAACTTGAGAATACCATTCCTATCTGGAGGGAATTCCCCTCCACATGAGTCCTGGTAGTTAGAGACTCAGACCATCTTTTATAACAAAGCTGGAAAGAAAGCTGCCTGCTGTCTTGCTTCCCCTGTAGCACAACTTCATGTGCACATTTCCTGGGTTCAGATAAGCAGATGCACAAACTCTGGACTGGGCTTGAAAGCTCCTGATAATAAGAAGAGAGAGATTATTCCAGGGCAGCTACAGAAATGGCAGCTGTATTGGTCTTCTCAGAAGAGGAACGGAAATGCTGGCTCAGGCATTGCACAGGGTCTGCTTTGGGCATATTGGCTGAAGGATGAATGGCAGCCACACCCGCAGTGATAACACTGATGAGCTCCACAGAGGCCAGTATTGGACTGCTGTTCTGCGTTCACAGCCTCCCTTGTTTTTGCCTTTTCTCCTGACTTGGGTATCCAGGTTCCCTAGTGATTTTGTGAACTCTCCAGATCCTTTTCGGTTTAAAAGATGGCTTCTTTGTAATAAAAAAATAATGGACTTGGTGACTCTTGCTCTGGAATGGTGGTCTGAGGAGCTCCATGGAACCACTTCCCAAACAAATAACCATAACTTGTGAAAGTTTTTTTTTTAAAGATTGTCACCTGAACTAACATCTGTTGCCAATCTTTTTTTTTTCTTCTTTTTCTTCTCTCCAAAGTGCCCTAGTACATAGTTGTATATTCTAGTTGTAGGTCCTTCTGGCTCTGCTATGTGGGACGCTGCCTCAGCATACCTTGATTAGTGGTGCTAGGTCTGTGCCCAAGATCTGAACCAGTGAAACCCTGGGCCGCCAAAGGGGAGCGCACCAACTTAACCACTCGGCCATGGCCTGGCCCTGTGAAAGTTATTTTTAAAAACAACCATTTGAAGTCTCCAGGAATTGTCCTCAGGGCATACAGCAAATGAAGAAACATTTATTTTTAAACATCTACTAAACCTTGTAAGAACAAAGAGAGTCTATGGCACTTGAGCCACAATCCGCTCCCTACTCACCAGCTCCCAGCTCAGAGTGACAGAAGGTCCATTCTGGGCACATATAACCAAGAGGTGGGGGCTTCTTCTTCTCCCAGCTCCGTCATGGGTCATGATAGCTCCCTAGGAGGAATCGGCTGCCGGCATATCTCAATCCCCCTCCCAGCTCCATGTTGCAGGAGCTAAATTCCAGGAGAGTGTGGCCAGGAGGTAGGGGGCTCCATTCTTCCACCCAACCCCACTTGTAGGGCCGAGGCTGTACCCCAGGCACTGAAGATAAAGAAATCTGAGGCCCCAGCAGCGCTTGACGTGGCTCACTTGTAGAGTGGAGTTTTCATGCCAGAAAATGCATGCCAAAAAGACCAAAGGCCACTGCACATGACCTTGTAAAACAGAGGTGTGAGAAGTGGGCCACCATCTCTGACACACCTCCCTAGAGATAGCTCCGAGAGTTTGCTCAGGATAAGAGGCAATCTATAACAACAGAAAACTCTAAAGCTCACTGCAAAGGGACTGACTTCAATTGGAACAGAGTATAGGAAAGGTCAAGTCTAAGGGCATGCTTGAAAACAATGGAGGTTTGGGTGGTGAGCAATTAAGAAGAAGCTGGTATCTCCAGGAGAACAGAAATCTCAACTACAATCCAGCTAGTTTACCTTTAAATCCTCCAGATTTAAATCCTCCAGGTTTAAAGGTTATTTCCAGAGAGATTCACAGAAAAAAAGGACAACTAAGAAGAACCCTCCTGGAATTGGAACAAACCTCAGAGACTGACCTCAAAAACTACCTCTGCAAAGGGACCCCAATAACTGGATAAGACTGTGGAGCCATTTATGTCACAGGAAATTTTTGGAAAAAATAGAGTGAACAACTGGCAATTTAGTGGAGCCTAAAAACTGAGTGTGATACTGACAGAGCCACACAGCTTAACAGAAGGATCAGGGAAAAAGACAGTCAAAGTGACTGTCTGATGAGGATCTTCCTCAAGTAACAGTTATAGGTTTGGACATGGGAAAGGACTTAGTCTTGTTGGAAATTTCCAATATTTTAGTGTTTTTACTACTTCGAGGGATCCAGCGTTCTGGGGTAATGAGATTAGGATAGATCAGTGGTACTCAACCAGGGCGATTTGCTCCCTTGAGGACATTAGGCAATGCCTAGAGAGATTCTGTTCTAATTTGGGGGGATGACCTAATAGGGAGAGGCCAGGAATGCTGCTGAATACCCTGCAGTTCACAGGAAAGCCCTGATCCTCACAGAAAAGAATTACCTGGCCACAAATGTTAGTAGTGTCAAGGTTGGAAAATCCTGGGTTAGATACATTGGTCCAGTATTTGTGTTCATCCAGGGTGGTTCACCTGGGGAAATTCAAGGAAGGAAAGGACGTGATTGGGTGTTGAGCCCTCCCTGAAAGCAGCAGCATCAGGCAGATTTGGGTCAGCTGTCCTTCTGTGTCTCAGCGTTTGTGACACTGACTCTTCCAGTGGCTCTTCTCCTCGCATATCTAAAGGTGTCCTAGTCCATAGGTTCTAGATTCTCAGGGAGAGAACTTCAGCTCTTGGTTTTATTTTAAAGGTCAAGGGTTGTTTTATTGGGAGTTTGTTTTGGTTTTTAATTTTCTCACTTTTTAGAGCCCATCGAATATGTCCAGTAGCGTGTTTGAAATCTTCTAACAGTAATTTCCCACGGCAGTTTATTTTTCCTAAGTGCCCTATTTCAAACAGAAGCCTATTTATGAAGAGACAGGACAAGTCTCACCTGACTTGAGCTTTTAATTAAATCCATCCCCCAAAATTGTTTGAAAGTTTTCAAAGTCTGTTTTTAAAGGCTCTTTATCTTTATTTCATTACACTTTCTCTTTGTGCGATCTACCCTTGAGAGAAAGCCTTCTGGAATGGCCCTAGTGTGTTTCTTGCTTTTCTAATGCTCTCAAGGCCATTTTAAATAATAAATTACTGTATACCACAAATCAAATAACTTTCCTACAATCCATAACCAGTGAGAAAGCATAGTAGGAGATAAGATTCCATTCACAAAGACAAATACACTACTTCTCATACTGTAAATTTGATGCAATTGCAATGAAATAACCAATAGTTGGGGTTTGTAATTGATTTCAAATTATTCTAAATACCATCTGGTTTAAAGTAAGCATTTGAGATTCACCAGGTAAATATTGATGCTAAATTATCGTGGGAGAAGGAGTTACTCAATGAAATATTTTAATGCCATCAAAATTGTCATAAAAATGCATCAACATAATTAGAACATGTATGAATGGTGGTGGAATACACACACATATCAATGGAAGAAGAGAGAAACTCAAGGCCTATGGAAATTTATAAATGGTACAGGCGGAATCCCACATTCCCACAGAAATGTTAGACAATTCGGTAAATGATATTGACACAGATTGTCAGAAATTCAGAGGGAAATATTGGGTTTCTGTCCCGCCCATTATCTCAAAATAAGTTTTAGATGATCAAGGATTTAAACATAAAAATTGAACTATAAAAATACTCAAAGAAAGCATACACCGTAATTGAAGTTTTCTGTAACACTGATACGGGGATGATTTTCTGAAAGCCAATCGACACAGTTAACCATATACAAACGAAAAACTTTTATAGGGCAAAATCAATCATACAGTAGGAAAAATAATTAGAAATTGGGAAAATATGAGTAAGCACATATGATGGGAATATATGTTCTATAATATATTGAAAGACCTTTTCAATAAAGAAAACAGATCACCTAACAGAAAAATGAACACAGACCCATGAATATATGGGTTACAAAGTAATGCAAGTGGATAAGACATACATGAAAATAAATAAAATCTCACTCATAATTAAAGAAATGCAAGTTAAAACAAACACGATTCTTTTTTTTTTGTCTATGAAACTGGTTTCCCGTCACTGATTTTGCACAATTCTGTCTGCCACTGATGTCTGTCTCGGTTATTGTAAAATGAGGGGCTTGGTCTCTTAGGACTCTTCTTGTTTGAGAAAAACTCCAAGATTCTAAGCAAAGGTCTCTGCCTGGTGAGGAGCAAATTGGCGAGAGAAGAGCAGAAAGATCGTTGAGAGGACACCAAAACGATGCAGAGCACCTCGTGATAACGGCAGACTCGGCATTTTGTGGAGCGTCAGTTGATAGTGGGATGCTCAACTTCAGGGTCTCCCACATCCCCAGCGTCTTTGAGCCTACACTTCGGCTTGAGTCACTCTATTACCCTGGAATTCCTGCTATGAACTCGATTTCTGGTTCAGGTAAAATGAGTAGATCAACAAGTCTTTCTTGAAAGGCTCCCGGTCCTCCTGCCTGAGTCAACAGCCAATGGAAAGAAAAAAAACATGAATGTGAGGACCGACAGTTCCCGGCCCCAGCTCTGCCCTTGACTCCCAGTGTGAACTTTGATGGCTCCCCAGACGTCGGTTTTGCCATCTGCGGGATGAGGGTGTTTGTCTGGATCATGTCAAAGGGGACTTCAACTCCAAATTCAATGGATGGCTGTGGCTCAGGGCATCTGAGAAGCACCTGGTTCCTGTCCATGACCCTTGTCAGGCTGTTCTCCTGGGGGCAGATACGCACAGCTGGTTAGAACAGAATCTCCTCATCTGAGGAGGTTCTGGACAAAGAGAGCCTAAGAAGTGGCCAGAGAATATCCGAAAATTTTCAGTGACCCTGGTTGCTCAACCCCCAGGGTGAACACAGAGCCTGCAGATATGACATCAGAGTTTCATCTCAGCAAAAGACCCCTCAGCTGGAGAACTCTGTGTCTCTGGGAGGAGATGGTAGCACTTGAGCTGTTCCCAATTAACCATGCATTTTCTTTTCTTTTTTATTTATTTATTTATCTTGAGGAAGATTAGACCTGAGCTAACATCTGCCACCAATCCTCCTCTTTTTGCTGAGGAAGACTGACCCTGAGCTAATATCTGTGTCCATCTTCCTCTACGTTGTATGTGGGACGCCTACCACAGCATGGCTTGCCAAGCAGTGCCATGTCCGCACCCGGGATCCAAACCGGTGAACCCAGGGCTGCCGAAGCAGAACGTGTGAACTTAACCGCTGCACCACCGAGCCGGCCCCAACCATGTATTTTCTGACTGCACTGCTCATTCTGGGCACTTCAGCTAGCTTCTCTGGGTAATTTCACTAATATCATGCAGCCCCACAACTCATCTTTCCCTTCACTCCTGCTCTCTCCTCACCTCTACGTGCAGAGTTGAAAACGCCTTTATGAGGCAGGAAGTAGTTTCGAGAACATCAGCCAAGAGGCCTTGGAGGCTCTACAAGCTCCAATCCCCGTCCTTTTTACAGCTGGTTAAACTATAGGCCAGAATCTGGGGCAGGCACAGAATGAGGGGAGGGTGCACAGCAGCTGCTCCGCTGCTCACGATGGGAACGAGAATGGTTTAGACAACTTTCCTTTCTTGACTTCTAAGCATGCAAACACCTTTCCTCTACTTAGGGAGGATCCCACCAGGTCAGTCTTGGGAGTGGAGGCTGAGCCCATGCAC